ACAGGAATGTTTCCATGCACATCCTTTATGGAGAAGAGAACCTGCCACAGAACAGGAGGCTGTTGGATGTGTTGTGCCTGATGAAGAAAAGGAAGGGATGGTCAGCACAGAACACTTGGGCACGTTCGACAGCACAGCATTCTACGCCCAAGCTGGCTGAAGCTGCGGCCGCCTCGGTGCCTTCTTCATTCACCTCCACAACACTCTTATGCACAAACTTGGACAGACACAGGTCTCTCCCAGGTGACATTGCTGACAAGTCAGCCTTCTCCTGTTGGAAGACATCCACCATCCCCAAACGCTGAAACACCGACTCCATGTTGTAATCTTCTTGCAGTTTAAATTTTGGAAAGTAAACACCAACTTCGGTTTTTTTCATAAAGCCTGGTTTGGTCCAGGCTGTTAACTTCTCAAAAGTGAGATTGTCTTCCACCTGATAAACCAAAATTACAGACTTTCAGATTCATACTTGAGGTCATACCTGGAGTCACACAGGCACCCTCCCACCCACAGCACTTCCCACCCCCCTCCTCTAGCACAGGGCATTGGCTGCAAGCTTGTTACCTGAGTCACCCTCAGGCAGACATCATTACTCCCATTCTAGTGGTGGGAGAACTAAAGTTATGTCATATGGCAAGGTTGCACAGATCATAATGAGAGTTGAACAGACCTTAGATTCCAAAGCCAAGTGCCTACATACTGCTCTGCAGCTGGATCTGTGAGCACCACCCACTCAAATGACAAAAGCAAAGGTGGAAGTGATGTTCAAGTTCTATTCTAGTGAGAAAGGACACCAGGGACACTAGATTCTCCTGGCAGAAACTTAAGAGTGGCTGCCTCACCGTGCTGAGATCCACACCATCATCTGGAAGCAGGACCACCATGCTCAACTCCTCGTCCGCATAGGGCAGCTCTAGCACCTGTGCCTGTAACTCACTCACAGAGGCGATGTTAAATGTGTCTTTCTGATACATCATCTGCACTGGCCTTTGCTCTCTCTGATGGAAATCAATACACAAACATAGAATGGAAAATAGATTATTGAAGGAGTTAAGAAAGTTTCCAAATGATCTGCAGTCAACTCCTGGAATATTTTCAGTATCTGCAATGGAAACAATATCCATGCTCCAGTGAACAGTTAGACAAGGCCGGCCAGCCTCTTCCTAGCACCACTAAAAGTAATTGAGTATAAGTAGACACAGGACTAACCTGGGAAGGACAATGTTTATTCAGCAAGATAAATTAATATATTATTTAAATATTAATATTTTGAGATGCTATAATTGGGTCAACAATTTCCCACAAAGGCTTGTGTGCTAAAAGCTTGACCCCCAGGGTGCCACTGTTGGGAGATGGGGAACCTTTAGGAGGTAGGGGCTACAGGGTTAGGGTTAGCTGTAAATATGGTTCAACAATGATAAACCGATCAATAATTTAAAACAATATTTTACTTTAATTTAAAACAGCTATTTTAAAAACATGCTTGTACATTACTTCCTGGTCTTTTCTATGTTCCAAATGTCTATCACAGTATCATACAACCTAGCATTTTGCTTCCTTGGATGTAAGGGAAAATGTTTAGTTTCTAGAATAAGACAGAAACAATAGCTGTATGAGAAATTATCAGAGGCAGTCATAGCAACAACAGAATGCAAAATAATATATGTAGAAATGACTTAAAA